GTTAGCAGAGATAAAAGCCATATGCTCTAGCAGATATAAGTAGTTCAGTGCAAGTGCTGTGTGCTGCAATGTGAGATTAAACAAAAACAGCATTTTTCAGATGATTCTGTGCCAGACTTGAAAATATGTATCTACATAAACCCCAAAGGAAATATTTATATTTTATTCCCCCTTTATTTCTTCATTGTCATTAAAATTTATCAAACAAAGTATATTCTGCAAATAATATGACATAGCAATTGGAATCTGGTAAAACAGACTTTGGCTACTGATTCTGTAGGGTTTGAATTTGTCATTGAAAATAATATTTAGGCTAGAACTTACAGAAAGAGATTACATTAAGAGGCAAAGCAAGAAAAGAAAGTTATTTATGAATGAATTTTACATGCTTTCTGACCCTCCCTTTGTCTTTCTAGCTGTATAGAACTGGAGCCAGAAACCTGAAAAAGACCTGCTCTAGGGCAGAAGTTGGGCCACACGGACCCAGAGGTGCCTTCCAATCTCAGCTGCTCTATGTCTTAACACAGTTAACTTAAAAATGCAAAAGAGAAATCTACGGCTAGTGAAATTATAGGAAACCACACAGGATAGGAAACATATATAGTATCAGAAATTGTGTTGCCAGCAGGACTAGGGAAGTGACATTCCCTCTGCATCTCAAGTACTGCACTCTGTTTTGGACCTCTCACTACAAGAGAGACACTGAGGCTCTGGAGCTTGTCTAAAGTAGGCAACGAAGCTATGAAGTGTCTGAACACAAGGCTTAGAAGGAGTGGCTGAGGGAACTGGGACTGTTTAGTCTGGAGAAGAGGAGGCTCAGGGGAGATGTTATTGCTCTCCACAGCTACCTCAAAGAAGGTTGTGGTGACGTGGGGGTTGGCCTCTTTTCCCAGGTAACAGTGATAGGACAAGAGGGAATGGCTCTAAGTTGAGCCAGGAGAGATTCAGGTTGGATAATAGAAAGAATTTGTTCTCTGAAAAAGTGGTAATGCATTGGATCAGACTGCTCAAGGAAGTGATGGAGTCATTGTCCCTGGAGGTGGACAAGAGATGTTTAGATGTGGCACTTAGGGACATGGTTTAGCAGGAATGCTGGTGATGAACTGATGGTTGGAGTAGATGATCTTGAAGGTCTTTTCCAACATCAGTGATTTTATGATTCCAACTCTCAAGATCTTGGCCATCAGAAGCTGTATGATCTTCAAAAAGGTGCTATGCCATCCAGAGGTTTTTTGTTCCTAAAGCTAAAACCTTTCCTGGAAGTGTTGAGAATCTCTCAAGGCAATTAAAAAAAAATTGAAAAAATCAAGGAGTGTTAAGGATACACCAGAACCCATTAATTTTCTTTAACAAAATGAAGGTTACACATCCTCAAGACATAAAGAGCACCCATGTGTAGGTCATGTTGCTTTTCTTTTTTCCAGTATATGCTTTTTATCTCTGAGTCCTTTGCAAGTTGTGATTTCTCTTTAAGAGTTTACCATTGCTGGTGTAGTGAAATATATTATCACAGGCTCAAAGGAAAACTTACATGGGCAGGATCTGTGTTGCACTGTGTCTGGACATGAAGTGGCCATGGCCCAGACTCACTGCACCACGCTGCTCTGAGTGAGCAGAGCCAGGCAGGGCTGTGACCATAACAACACAGCTCTCTGTCCTCTCCTGCGTTAGGAAACTAAAATCTAAATCTCTTCAAGGCCAGGCTGGATGGGGGCGTGAGCAACCAGGTCTAGAGGGAGGTGTCCCTGCCTTTAGCAAGGGAGTTAGAGCTAAATGATCTAAAAGGTCCCTACAAACTCAAATGATTCTATGATTCTAAAACTTAACAGTTCAAATAAAGTTGTAGGAACCCTACTCCAATCTTATTTTTCCTCCAAGACTTGAGCCTTGTCATCATGATTGCATCCAGAGAAACTTTCTTCTATTAAAATATTTTCCTGTAGTGTCTTCTATTTGTTCCTTATCTGAATTGTTGTGTTCTGTTTTCACTTCTTGCTTTATGTAACACTTTGCTTTTAGTTGATTCTATTGTGGATGAATCCTCACAATCAATAGAGATAGCACATTTTTGAACCATGTTTAGCCAGTTCCTTCAGAACCCTGGAATTCATGTTATCTGACCCCATAGACTTGTACGTGTTCCGCCTCATGAGGTAATCTGGATTTACTCCTCTCTTAGACTAGGAGGGATTTTGCTCCCTCTACCTCAGCTTTGAAGTTCAGGGACATGAGAAGTGTGAGAAGCCTGACTGGCCATGAAGATGGAGGCAAAGAACTCGTTAAGTACCTCAGCCTTCTCCATATCTGAGGAAGCCAGCTCTTCCTTGTCATTTATCACAGGTGGGAGACTCTTCTTAGGCTTGGGGTAGTTTGCTTAATGCCATACTGCTGGGAACAGTGTGCTCACTCAGCATAAGTAAAGCTAGAGCCAGTCACTATGTAAGCACCACACTGTGTAACACTGTACAAAATGCAATATGAATTAAAGTAGAAGGGAAATAGAGTGTGGATAATGATTAGGCATTTTCAGCTCTCCTACCATACAGCTGTTACAGAACAGTAATCAGGAGTACTAGTATGTGGCAAGGTTTAGAAACTGTAAAAGTGATACTGGAAGGTACTTGGGCATGAATTAATCAATTCTTGTGAGTCCTCAAATGTGAGTCCTCAAATGTGAGTCCTCAAATGTGAGAATGTGATCAATAATAATACTGATACCTAAGAATTGTGGAATGCTAGAATCATAGAATGACTTGTATTGGAAGAGACCTTGAAGCCCATCCAGTTCCAACCCCAAGCCATGGGCAGGTTTGTCACCCATTAGATCAGGCAGTCCAGGGCCCCATGCAGCCTGGCCTTGAACACGTCCAGATAGCACCCTGCCTTTGAAAAGTACACAGTTCTCCTGTGCTGTTATGAATAACAGTTTCTTAGCCAAATGTGAGCTTGTGAACCTGTGTTCAGACCTGCAGAAGAATGACTTCCTAGCACCGTTTTCCCTCTCATTTTCTCTCCAATGTTCTTGCTGGGTTGTACCATTCAAATGCTCTCATTACATATTACTGTTACTTCACTGACTCATTGCAGCATACATTGGTTTGGAGGTTGGGAAATGCTTTTGCAGGGAAGGGGAGGTAAGCAGGAATGGAAGGTTGAGATTTTACAAATGTGACTCCCTTGGTAAAAAAAAAAAAAATGACATCAATGTATGCAGCAGACTTTCCCTGCATCTCTGTGTATACTTGCTGTTACAGTGAAAGCCCGCTTGCTGACACCAATCATTTCCGTAAAATTTAAGCCAGTGTCTTTGGGAGAAAAGATTTAATTAACACATAAGCCCCTGAGTCACTATGACAATCTGCTTTCATAGTGATGAGAATAATCACATTTCTGCCCACTGTCAGTCCTTGAAATATAGGATTTTTATGAATAATCTACGGTACATTTTTTTCCTTACAGAAACAATCAGATTCTTTTGTTACTTTCAGACAAGAACATTTCTGTCTCATACATCTAGAAAAACTCTAAATTTATCTGGTGCCTTGAGGGGCTACCTCTGCCTGTGTGACAGGAGGTCTCTTGAGCATTTTGGGTTACTAGCATGAAGGGAGGCTGAACAATTCCAGCCTAACCAAGATCCACGAGACATCCCATTATTTAAATAGAGGTGCCCTTAGGGCACTGCATGCAGAACCCGGCACAGTAGATAAATAAATAAATAAGCAGCGCTCATTGCAGCCAATAAATAAATCCGTGGCCATAATTACAGTGCAATAAAATTAGATTCAAAAAACTTTCACTGTGAAGCAGAGATAATGTAACCTAGGTACAGAGCTCTGAGAGGTCTTTTTTTTCCCCTTAGTCCAGTTGAAAAGATCATGTCTAACAGTACGTACTTTTTTGACACCTCCTTCTCTTACTTGTTATAAACCCTTGAAGGAAAAGATACAGAAGCTTTTTTTTCCCCTGGGTTAGTTTCATCAAAGTTGTTTCTGATTTAAAGTGGCATAAGTCAGATAAGTATCAGGCTTGTAAGGTTTAATGCTATGAGTGTTGGGGTTTTGACAGTGTTGAGAATAATTCTATAATCACAATTTAGAGAATGCTGCATTTGTTGTTCTCAGTAGAGCTTGTTATATAATTTTCAAATCTTTTTACTTTCTAAATACATTTTTATTTGGTTTTACAGCACTAAACAACAGCTAAACAAAGTACAGTCTGTCTGTTAGAATGTTCTTAATACACCTTTACAGCTTTAGCAACTCTAATACTAAAGGTTTTTAAAATATATATTTTGCACCTAGATAAATGCTTTTTTTTTTTAAATGCTAGCAGTCCTCTTGTGTTATGCTTGATTGCAACCTGTTTTCTAAATTAAAAAATGTAAATGTGGCATCGACAAAGGTTAAAAAGATTTAAAGTGGGTTCTGTCAGCAGTGCATACGCACACCAAACTAAATCCTGTGTATCTAATCAGTGTCCTCTGGACTGTGTGCCTTGCTCCATTGTTTACTCTCAAATCCATAATAATTTTGTATCCTTTCACTGGGCAAAGATTCATTTTAAAAACTAATGAATTTAAAAATTTGCTTTTCCCTTGTCCATTTGCTACTGAGCCTGCAATTTGACTTTCATTGTTTGTTTCCCTCCTTGTCTCGTCAATCCTTTTCTCTCTTTCTGTCCTTTTACTTTATTACATTTTTTATTGAGGATTGAGATGAACTGGTTGCTGCATCATGGGCCCATTACACTTCCTAACAATTCCATTTACACCTTATTGTTTGTCTTATTGCTGGAAAATTCAGGTGATTCATCATGCCTGAAGAAGCACCTGATCCCAATTCCCTTGATATCACGATCACTATGTGACAGGAATACAGTTACTGGTGGCTTTCAGACTCCATGAGGCCAAGGTGATAACTCTTTTGGGACTTTTAGCCTCTCAAGTATTGATGAGTTCCATTTTCGTAACGCTGTGTTTTCTTGCTCCCTTTCAACAGCCCCCTGAGTGTGGAAAAGGGCCTGGAGTTAATAAAGGATGTGGCAGATCTCCTGAAGCTGCAGATGAGTGCCTTCGATGATGTTAAGTACGTATATGAAATTCGCCTCTTCTTATTTTATTGGATTTATTATTTTTCAATAGTTCATCTTACAATGGAATGACTTCTCTTTAATGCCAAAATTAATGAGAGTATATGCAGAAACAAAAGAACATTTTGATGATCTTTATAACATCCCTTACACAAATTTAAGAAACAATTATTTAATACAAACTATAAAGGCTGAAATAACCCCATGCTCCCATAGGGAAAAATCTCTTCAAAGTGCTGTAAATCTATAACCATCTTATTTAACAGAGTAAGGGTTAAGCAAGTACAGTAAAGAGTCATCATACACTGCATAGCTGAGGGTGAAACAAAATCACAGCGGGAGAAAAACTTTGGTTCCTGACTTTCAGTATGGCACATGGCACACTAGGTCATGCTGCTTGGACAGCTACTCATTTAACAAGTCACAGGGAGTTCAGCTGTGTTGAAATGCTGCTTTTCTTATGATTTATGCTGATAAATGTGCTGTATGGTAATCACCTAAGTTAGGAGGTTATGATTTTCCATGTTTGGTAAAAAATAAAATAAAATTATAATGGAGATTTTCTGAAAACACTTTGATAGGAACATTTACTTTATAAAACTTTAGTTTTTCCTTCATTAAATAAAATAGGTTGATAGAGAAGTAATGGAAAAAAAAGAATCAGCTGTGGTTGGTTTGTTACAGCGTGCTGGAAAAACTCACATCCCAGTGCACGGAAAATAACTGTTATCTTGGTAGCATCCAGGTTCTGCCTATGTTTCAGTGTTTGGGACTGCTTGGTTTTCCCCGTGAGTCATATTGCTGAAGGGCAGTGCCTTCTCATATTTAGTCTTTGGATCCAGTGAATGCAATTCATATTTTTTAACGCTGTGTTTTTAGCTGTGGTCTGAAGATGATGCATTTTTGGTGGTAGTGTTGTTGTTTTTGTAACTTGTATTTTATGAAATATACTATTAATGAAAACTGAATTTTGTAATTACAAAAAAATGATGTTATATGGCCTTCCTTATAAAAGAATTTTCAACCTTGAATTTGAATACTAGCAGATAAATCAAAGCCTGCTGCACATTCAAAGGGGTAATTCCACAGAACAAGTTCTCTGCTGGAATCAATGGGTTCTACTTCATTAACTTCATTCATTTATGTTAAAAGAGCACTTTCACCTATCTTTCTAATTGTTAGCGTAAAACCTTTTTTTTTTTTTTTTTAATCATTTGATAAATTGCAACAACATTGCAATTGTTGAGCTGTAGGTTTATTCTTTAATGAAAAACATCCCTCCAGTGAAATAGCACATATGAACTTTTTTTTTTTTTTTTCTTAATATGCAACTTTAGGGAAGCTGAATATTTTGCATCCATTAATATGCAGTCATCTGTCAGTACCAAAAGTACTTGTATGATATGGTCTGTATTTTAAAGGTGCATTATAAATAATGATAATTACAAGCAGGACAGACTGTTCTGTCTATCAGCACATCATAGATCTTTGCCTTTTTAACACATCTATAAATCTGTAAAAGGTTATCCCAAATCCCAAGTTAGGGAATAATTAATCCATAACAAACCTTTAGTCCAGAAAATGAGGTGCTTAAGCCCAGGTTAAACCCATGAAGTGCTATAGAAAAACGAAGGTGGACATCAGGCAGGAGAAGTAGAAGCCTTAGAAAAAAGCATTAATGTTTTTTGGATTTGTTCTTTTGTTGTCATTACCTAGCCATCATTGGAAAACTGTATGGACAGGAAGGCTCTGGTTGCTGTCTGCACGGCCTCCTGTAGAGGAGTTTTGAGAAAGACCTAATGATATGGGTATTCCTAATTCACCACTGACACATTGAAATGTGAGGATGAGACGTCTAAGGAAGTATTTTATTTTACTAGTGTTTTGGGTTTTTTTTTTCCCCCTCAGGGATTTAGCTTTTAAACATATCAATAATCCTAAAATCAAGAATTTATGAGGGGTTGGAATATGGAAAACTAAATTAGATTGAACTCTGACCTGAATGTGAGCTTGGATTAAAATTCTCAGTTTTCTCTTTCCCTTCCAAGAGTTCTGAAAAGGAAAAGAGTGTACATCTGAATTTTTTAGACCACTGCACAGATTTCAGATTGAAGTCATTTTAATGAGAGCCACAAATTTCAGAGTTCAGACAAGGCCATCATATTCAAGAGGAGTAATATAAAAACTGAGGACAGAGTGTGAGTGGTGAATTTTTTAACGTTGTTTAAATTCTCAGATAAGGTTTTTTGTCCTATTCTATTGAAAAAGTGATTTCAAGGGTACTGATTCACAAATACATTACTACATTTAGTTAGTTTTGTCTGCAGATATCCTTCATTCCTCCATGTATTTTTATTTTTTTTCTCTGCCTTGGAGTTTGGTTAAGTGAACAGCAGCTTTTTTCTATGGGTTCCTACTGATTACCATGATTGTTCTTGATTTTATTTGATGCATGGTAGTAATCAGCTTATCTTCTCTTTCACAATCCTGCCAACTTTAACCGATGGCCTGCATTTCACAACATAGCCTCAGGCTTGGCTCCCAGAGCGTTCAGTCCACTTCTGCAGTTGGTTTGTTGTCAAGTTTGCGCTGACATAAACTTTGCTCACCCTGTGAAGCAGATGATTGGGAATAGATTTGGGGAATACATAATTAGAAATACTTCCATACTGAAGAAAAGATCCAACATGTTAGCTGTCACTTCTGGATACAGCCTGAATCTTTATGGAAGTAATAGTTATGCTTAATATGTTTTGTTAATGGTTATGTAGCTGTCAAATAAATTCCATTATTTCTTATTACATCATTAGAGACCATTAAAAGGATATTAGCATGCTGATGTAATTATGCAAGCAGACGTAAAATGACTATAGTTATGATTTTATAATCTAATTATGGGTGTCCAATGCCTCTGGTGATTGATTGTTGGACTGGTATCATGGATTGAAGTCAGATGGGTAGTAGTGCTTGGAGGGCTTGTATTTATTTTAAAATTAATACTACCTCTGCAATCTGCAATATTGGCCTTCTTCTTGTAATTAAAGCTCTTTATACATTATAGAACAAACTTATAAGTGCAACAGGTTACCTACAAACATCCAAATATAATAAAGCTACTAAAATTCGTTAGCTCGGCTGTGAAAGTGGTGGAAAGAACACTCAAAATGTATAGTAAAAGCGACATACGTGACTTCTTCAGATTCTTATTGGAATACAAATTATTTCTGTGCTCTTATTTTCTTATACTTGGGATGTTTAGTGAGAACATTGCTAATGGGAAGTTTTCAACTCTAAATTTAGCTTAACACCTTTACATGGAAGGAAAACAAATTATTCTGATGTCATAGTATTTCAGACTGCATATCATTCTCAGTCTCCAGTCAAGAGTGATATTTTCTGCTGAATATTACATCCTTTGATGTAAACTGCAGTAACACTGATTTTTTTTTCTTTTCCTTCTTATTTCTCTCTTTAACCTTTTACGATTTTCCCTATTGCTGTTGAAGATCTCTTGCTCTGTGTGTCTTTTTTTCCCAGTTTTATTCTATCACTTTTGCTTCCTCCTGTGCATTTCAATGAGCATCTTTGTCATTTTTGCCTTTTAATATACTTAAGCTTAAGTACTCAATGAACTGTCCTTCCAAGAGATGTGGTAACTTGACAAAAAGTGTTTCCATAATTTTTCAATGGAAAACTTGTAGTAGGGCACCCTCTATTCATTCCATAAAAAACATTAATGTTCATCTGCTGCTGTTATTTTGGAGCATAGCAGATGTTGTCTATGTAGGCCTTTAAACTATATATGTAATGTTTGGGATACACAGGATACTCACTGAATTCCAAGTGCTAATGTGAACAGATTTTCTAAGCTGATTCTCATTATCTAATGTGAATTCCTGGATTGCTAAACCATAAAATTTAATATATTCCCTATCAGCACAGTTGGTTGCACATGTATCATACATTCAATGCTAAGATAAAAACCTATATCGCTGAGCTTTTAGACTCTAAAGCTCAAACTAAGAGGCCACAGGTTGGCTGTTTAGCTTTCACCTGAATGTTCTCACTATCCACACTGAGATTAGAGATGAATTCAGTGTTTTAGTTGAATTGTGTTTTACATGAAAAATGAAAATTCACATTAAATGAAGCTATGTATGGAAACTGTATGGAAGCTTCAGATGGCAAATCCATTTAAAAAATTCTAGCAGTCCCTGCAGTGTTGTTTGGCATTTTGAAAATAAAATGCTATAATTTTTCAATTCAAAGAAATGACTCATTTCAAAATTTAATTATGTTTGGCTTGTAAGGCAAATGCTTCAATTTTGGTGATAAAAAATAAACAATTGATTTTGGAGAGAACTAAACCTGTTGTTTGGTGGTTGTTTCCTTTTTAAAATTTTTTGTTCAGCTGACCAAAAATATCAATCTTTCAATAATGACAAATCATGATATAGTCTTTTATAATATATTTATATATATTTTTACAGAATTCTATCTGATTCCATATGCAGGAAATAAAATGCTCAGCTAATGAGCAGCTCTTCAGTGTTCCATTTTATCTTCATTGTTCAATGTGTGGCTTCAGGCTTTCTTTATTCCACATTATTCAAATCCTGCTCTGAGGTCAGAAAATCCATTTCTTCTCGGTTTTGCTGTTGTTTTGTTTTGTTTTCCTGTGGTGCTCTTTTCTAGTCTATCAAAGCATTTGACAAACTTAAATTGATAGTCATTATAAGAACAATACAGAGCTAGAGTTTATTCATGAAAGTATTAATGGCAAAGTATCTACTAATTTGAACTGTCCAGTCTGATATCTAAGAGTATGTCTTAGACTGTTGTCTTCTGTGAAGAACTTCAAGTATTGAGTTGTGGTTGGCTTCAATTACCATTCTGAGTATTCAGCAGTCCCAGAAGTCAGCTGTCAGTTTAAACAATGCTTCTGTAAAAAAAAAAATAAATAATAATAATAATAAAAAGCATGGCATGACTTGGC